GCGCGCATCCCCCGGTTTCCCCTGGGAGAGGGAGGAACGGGCGCCCTGGTTCCCAGGGCTGACTGGGAAATCTGAGTCTGGATCCCCCTTTTTGTTCTCGTTTTCCAAACACTGAATTATTGTCACCTTGGCATACGTTTGAATAAACTTTGTAAAGATGACTGGACGTGCACCCGAGCCTGGTTTTACTGAGCTGCGTGAAGACTGGCACCGCCATCCTCGCGGCAGGGGCGTAGGGCACGTCCACCACACTGCCTGGGAGCCTGAAGTCACCAGGCACGGCACAGCACAGCTGCCTCTGGCTCCAGGAACCTGCGATCGTGGGCCTGGCTTGCGAGCCGCCGGATGCTCGTGGAGTCGGTCGGAAAGGACTCCGTCCTCCCCAGAGTGGCGGAGGGGTTACAGGTACCCCCTTCTGCCTTTCCTTCCTGGCCATCAGTTTGCATTAGGTAAAGTAGCAGGAAAGGGGGCTGTGTGCCATCTGGCCCATCGAGCAGGGAGTAACCAGGAGGGCACTCACGCTGGCCATCGGCCGTCCACCCTGACCGCCCCAGTGATGCCAGGTGCTGCACTGTCAGCGGGAGCGCAGAGGGAACCGCCGGCCCCGGCCCCCGGCAGAAACAGCAAGAGGCCAGAAACCCAGTGTGCAAACCGGTTCAGGACCTGTCTCCCTGTAGGAGCCCTCCTGGGGAGACGGCTGCCGTGGTGGCCAGGGGGCAGGCACACCCAGAAACCAGCGGACCTGCGGTCAGGCGGCATTCTCCGCACTTGTGTGTCGAGGTAAAAGGTTTCATTTTCTTCAAAAAGCCACACAAACAGAAATCGCTTATGATTCGGAAGATTGCCACAGAGCCAAGTGGAAGCACACACCCAGGGAGCCAAAAGTAACGGAAATTCGCTTACCAAAGGGAAAAGAACTGCCCGCGCTGCCGTGTCACTGGCAAAGCCACGTGTCAACGCTGGGATGTCCCGTGGGACCCGGGCAGAAGCCACGCGTCAACACTGGGATGTCCCGTGGGACCCGGGCAGAAGCCACGTGTCAATGCTGGGATGTCCCGTGGGACCTGGGCAGAAGCCACGTGTCACGCTGGGATGTCCCGTGACCCGGGTAGCACTTGCTCCATTAGCATTCCCTTTATCGGCTCCTTGGTTAAAGCTTAACTCAAATTGCTTTTGAATGAAGATAGATTTTCCCCCCTGGAACCCTATACACAAACCTGAGAAGGACTAAAATGTAGAACAGCCCTGCGGGGTAAATGCAGTTCTGGGAGCTGCAGGAGGGCAGCTGCAGGGCTCCCGAGAGGCTCAGGTCACCCATCTAAGCACCATGGCGTTGGGTATAACCTGTAACGGCCCTCTGGACTTTAAGTCACCTCTGGATTACTTACATGACGTAAATGCCATGGAAATATTTGCTAAAAAGAGCACATGTGGTACAGGTGCAGTTCCCTTTTAAAAATATTTTCCACCCGTGGTTGGCCGGATCCATGGATGTGGGACCCACAGCCGCACGTACCAAACTACTGAAAAGCCAGGAGGGCCCTGGGCAGGCTGCTGCCTCCCCCGCCCCCGGCACTTCCTCCCAGTGTAAGCGTGGGGAAAGCTGATGGCGTGCACAAGCTGACGTGGTCATTCTGCAGCCGTGCCCCTGCCCCGAGAGCGGACGCTGCGGGGAGAGGAGCAGTGTTGGTCCAGCTCAGTCACCCTCCAGCGGTGTGACCTCGAGCAATCACAGGGCTTCTCGGAGCCGGTCTCCCCCCTGAAAAATGGGAGGGGTCGGACTAGCACTCAGCCCCAAGGACTCTTGCTTCACACGGGGAGCCACAAAGCCTTTAGAACATGAATGGGACGTGGCCACAAGCAGGAAACCAGCAGACCAGAGCAGGGAAGAGTGCCGGCTCCTTGCTGGGAGACCGGCATGACTTGGAAGGCCAAGGCAGTGTCCGTGGTGTCATCCGAGGCTGGGCAGAGCCTGCACGTTCAGTGGGGAGGTGAGCTTCCACTCTGCTTGTGTGGGAGCGTGGTTCACTTCTGCACATGCACCGGTTCTGCCAGGACCTGGTCCACCACTGCTCGGGTCTGAATGTGTCCCCTCCAAGGGCCAGATGTCAGGGGGATGGGATGGAGACCCTCACAGAGAGGCCGCTGGCAGCTCCCACTGCGTGAGGGCATAGCCTCCTCCCTCTGGGTGATGGGGCAGCAACAGGGCACCATGTGGGAAGCAGACAGTGGCTCTCACCAGACGACCAGAGCGGCCTCTGGAACCAGGAGAAATGGGGTTTCTGTTCTTGCTAAACTGTCCCCCTACGCTGAGTTTACCCATCGCACCTGGAGACAACACAGCCCAGATGTGCACACTGGGAGCCAGGTTCCTATTTCAAAGCTCTGGAAGGCAGCAGAGTTCCGTACAGCAGTAAAGTTAGTTTCAAATTTATTTCTTCCACCTCTGACAACATCTCCAGGGCAAACCGAGTTCATTAATCATTGATAGACTCAGGGGTAAACAGAGTGCTCCCCTCTACACTTCCACCGCCTCCCTCCCCAGTGCCAGGCAAAGGAAACATCAACGTTGGATTAGGCGAATGATAACATCTTTTTTCATATAAACAGCGAGTGCCTTGAGCCACAATCCCATGCCTCAGACACCAGGAATAGTTTTTACATGGCCAAGCAAGTCAACTAGAACAAGGGGAACAGGCCGACGCGTCTCACCTCCACGCTATTTGGACCAGACCATTCTTGGTGACTTGGGGGAGGAGTGGGGGCGGGTTCCTGTGCACCATAGAATGTAGAACGTTCAGCAACATCCCCGGTCTCTACCCACTGGATACCAACAGCAGTGGTGGCAGCCATGAATGCCTCCAGACATTGCCAGATGCCCTGTGGGGAAGAGGAAGCAAAAGTTCCCCACCCCCTCCCCTCCGGGCTCAGAAGCCAATTCAACCACTGCATTGCGACAGAAGGCTTGGCTTGTCCCACGCCTGCAGGGCTCCCTGATGCTCCACTTCCGTCTGCAGGAACGTTTCCTGGAGCCAATCACAGACGCGGGCGCGGTGGGACAAAGCAGCTGCCCCGTCCCAGCGAGCACACGTCTCTTTTCGGCCTAAGTCCAAGCCCTGAGGTTTCACGGGAATGAAGCCTGCTGTGAAGACCAAGTTGTGAGCACAGGAAATGTGACTGCTCGTTCTGTGCTGAAGGAGCCGGGGCAGCACAGAGGGCTGGGCCTTAGAAGCTGCCCTGCACCTGTCAGAACCACGCCAGCGCCTGCTTAGCTTCCCGAGTGCTCTGCGTGCGGGGGCCGAGGACCCTCAGGGCGATAACGGAAAAGGCTGCTTGTGGTCAGGGAAGGGCATTTGTCTAATGTTTCAGAGAAAGAAAGGCGCCAGCATCTCGCTTCCTATTTTCCCTCTTAAAATTCTGACCTTGGGGCGGATTGTCATGCCCGACGGTAAAACAGAAAAGAGGAACAGAACTCTTGTCTATGGTTCCCATCACAAGCAATGTCAGAGGCAACCCAAGTCCAGTTTGAACCACGGATGATGTCATTACAAGATCAGACAGCAGGGGCTGGCATTTAGCCTAGCGGTTAGGGTACCAGCGTCCCACAGCGCAGCGCCTGTGTTCCGTTCCTGGCTCAGCTTCCTGCTACCGCGCACAACCCTGGCTCCAGTGATGAGAACCCTGCCAGGCGCGTGGGCAGCCGCAGCTGCAGCCCCAGCCGAGGCGGGCATGTGGGACGAGAACTAGCAAATCGAACTCTCTCTTTGCCTCTCAAATAGATAAAAATTTAAAAAGACACATCAATGACTAAAAGTGACAGGAAACAAACCAAAAAAAAAAGTCACAATTTGCCTAAAACAATATTTATCTGGCTCAAGCAAGTTTATATGACAAAGTACAAACTGACAAGACTTACCTCGCAGTCGTAAATATTCATCTTAAATTTACCTGCAGACTTAACTATTCATCTAGTTAAAAACTGAAGTACAGAGATTCTTAATTACCTCAATCAACTGCTTCCCCCAAAGGAAATGCACATTATTAAAGCCTCAGTGGCCTTACCATGCCTGGCGAGAGAACGCTGCCGCTGACCCGTTTTCCTAGTTATCTGCACCCCAGGAGAACCGGGCCACCCACCGAGTAGTCTCTGCAAGATGCCTGCTGACTGCTACGCGCTTTCCCAGTCTGCAGTCAGGCCGATAAGACGACCCTGACTGTGAATTCATGATTCATTGCGAGCATCGCACTTTCGGAAGAGAACGTACCCCACCCCCCCCATCTGACTGCAGGACACCAGCCTGCGTGCTAACCCTCCACCACAAGGCTGCCCCAGCCCGACCTGGGGGGCCGCCTCCCCGCGCCCACCACCACGCGGTTATCCCAGCCCTCCCTGCCTCCCTGTGCTGCACCCACCACCACACAGCTGTCCCAGCCTGCCCCATGGAACTGGCTCCCTGCGTCCACCACCACACGGCTGTCCCAGCCTGCCCCATGGAACTGGCTCCCTGCGTCCACCACCACACGGCTGTCCCAGCTGGTCCCCAAGGGCCCACCTCCCTGCACCCACCACCACATGGCTGTCCCAACCTGCTCTGTGGAGCCAGCTCCCTGCACCCACCACCACGCAGCTGTCCCAGCCGGTCCCCAAGGGCCCACTTCCCTGTGCCCACCACCACGCGGCTGTCCCAGCCGGTCCCCAAGGGCCCGCCTCCCTGCGCCCACCACCACGCGGCTGTCCCAGCCGGTCCCCAAGGGCCCGCCTCCCTGCGCCCACCACCACGCGGCTGTCCCAGCCGGTCCCCAAGGGCCCGCCTCCCTGCACCCACCACCACAGGGCTGTCCCAGCCGGTCCCCAAGGGCCCACCTCCCTGCACCCACCACCACAGGGCTGTCCCAGCCGGTCCCCAAGGGGCCGTCTCCCCGCACAGGGAGCCGTCGCCGACCCCAGGCAGCGTTTTCAAGGCCTCTCAAGGAAAGAGGATTGCAGGGCAGCCAGCAGGTGGAGATCATTGCTTTATTTCACTACTGTTCCACAACAAGGTCCGTTCCTCTCACGGTGGGTCCTCCAACTGTTCCTGTGTTCTCTTCTGCGCTCAGAATAAAAAAGGGAATGAGGAAAGAGCCTGTACTGCTGGGGACCTAGAATCTTACTTATGCTAAGAAGCTTCTGACGCAGTTTCGTGTCCCGGTGTTCCCTGCTGGCATCGTGGTGGTCGCACGGGGCTCCCCCGCTCCTGGGAAGGGCAGCTGGCCACAACTACCACCGTCGAAACCAAGAGTAAGTGTTGAAAAATGCACCTTTTACAATAAAAAAGTAGAAACCAATTCAATTTCCTTTTTTGTTTTTTTACGAATATAAAGTTTCTTGTAAATATGTACAGTCTTTTGAGCTAGTTCTATATAGCGGGAAGCATTTCACAGATGGAACACACAATATACAGTGTCAGGGCGTCAGCTGCCCGTTTCTCATGGAGCGCCTAAATGAAATGCCAAGACTGAAAGACCAAACTCAGGGACCCTTCCAAACGCTTGTGGACCAAGAGACAGAAACTGCGGCCAACATTCAGTCCAATCTGCCCTGGGGGAGGGGGCTGGGGGCGGGGATGGGACCCTGAACACACCAAGCGACACAGGGGACACAACAGCAGGACACCTGCCAGCGACGCTACAACATGGAGGTTCATGGGCGTTTCAGACAAAAAAGCACTTAGGTTAAGAGACGAGCAGGAAGGAGCCAGTGTTTGGGCCAGGTTGCAATCTGGAGAGCGACCTGAACTGCGGACACACGGGTTAAGAACACGGTCATGTTCGCCTGCTGTGGTGGACACAGGTCTGCCTTTTAGCCTACACCTAGGGTGCGCCTTGGTGGACGAGGCGTGCCCAAGAGAGTCATGGAGAATCCAAAGCAAGAGGTGCCTTGTGGGAGATTAAAGGCAGAAGTAAGGCCGCTAGTTAGCTTGCCAACTGCAGAGCCTCTAGGTTGGTTCTGTACCGGTTGCCAGGAATTCCACACCCTCCCGGAGGGGAGGGAGAGAGGGTGGGAGCCGCACTGCACCGGAGGACTTCCCGCCCCGGCGGGGCTGGGAGAGTTGAGCTGCGGCTCTGCCTCCCACCTCCTGGTCTTAGATCTAGCCCTAGGGAAAGGCTCGTCTAGAAGTCACAGTTTCCTGGGGTAGAACCGTGCTGGGCTGTGTGTGAACAGAGCGCCCGCGGGGGAGCCAGCAGGGGAGCGTGGCGGGCGGGCGGGCGCCGAGTGTGACGTGGTGCTTCGCTGAAATCCTTCTCTGGTCGTAAGGCTTGAGCGTTTTGTGTTTTGTTTGTTCAGTGCTACAGACTGCAGCTTGGTGTGGCCATTTAGTTGGCAAAGTGGTCAGAGGGTCTCGAGTCGGCGGGGGCTATGCTATGGGGCGGTGCTGATACAGGCAGAGCGACCCGGGCCGGGGCAGCCAGGCTGGGGCAGCACATGCAGGGAACCGCCATGCACAACTCCCGGGAGGGGGGTCTTCCCCACCCCAGCGCCCGCACGGACAGGAGGTGGGTGTCCCCGGTCCCCCCCCCCGACCCCGAGAGCCGTTAACGCTGGCGTCACAGCCAGTCTTTAGCATGCTTTCCTGGCCACAGCTACGATGGAGAGTGGGGAGCAGGCTGGGGGAGGATGCTGAGGGGCAGGGAAGGAAAACTCTGTAGAGGTCCCTTGGCCCCAAGTCACTGCCTGCGAGCTGAGGCCCGCTGACCTCCGCTGACCTCCGCTGACCTCTGTACATTCTCAGCTGGTGGGAGGGGAAGTCATTGAGGCCGTCAAAGGCAATGAGAACAGTAAACATTCGGCTACGGTTTCGCCCTGGGGAAAACAGGGCCAGCTAGGAGGATGGACTTGAACGAGAGTGAGCCTACTAGAGTGCTAGCCAACGGACGGGGACTCTTCTACGCTGCGTGCCAGTGGCAAAGACCTGATGGTGGGATCTAGCTAAAAAGGACTACAACAGGAATTACATTGCTATTCAAATCTATTAAGAATTCCGTGGTCTTTAAAAAAAAAAAAAAAAAAACGGAAACAAACCAAAACCAAAAGAAAAACCAACCAAGCCTACGATCTGAGAGCAGCTAACTAGGAGTCTAACCACGTCGTAGTCAGGAGGCGTCCCGGTTGGTTTCCTCTGATGAACTGGTACAGGCTAAAGCTTTACAAAAGTTGCTGAATGCTTTGAAGGAGTAACAAAGTGCAAAGATGACTGCAGGAAGAGCCGAGGAGCAGCCACAGCCACCTGCACCTCCGGGAGACGGGTGTCCGTGCCGAGGCGGGTCTGGGCCCGGCTGTGCCGGGGGCGGCTGAGCCGACGGCCGCTGCGGTCCCCTTCAGCGGAGTTCCGTGGTGTGTTTGGTATTTTCCTGCAGATTAAGATGAGGAGTTGGTTTTTCTGGCTGAGATTTATACTGAAGACTGGTCCCAGACCTAGGAACAGAACGAGGAGGGGGGGGTTTAGCCATCCCAGCCCACAGGACCCCAGAGGTTGCCGGGCTCACTCTGCACAGTCCACACAGGAGCGCACGGCGGCTGCCGTGAGTCCTGCCCCGCGGAGCTGGCCCCTGTCGCTTGGGCTCAGTCAGGGAGCGGAAGCCACTGAGCAGTCCCTGAAGCTCGCTGTGGACTTCTGCTGCGCGCACACACACATGGCTTTATTGGCAAATCAGAAAGAATAAGAGGGCCGGTGCCATGCTGCAGTAGGTTAATCCTCCAGCCGCGGCGCTGGCATCCCACGTGGGCGCCGGTTCTAGTCCTGGCTGCCCCTCTTCCAATCCAGCTCTCTGCTATGGCCTGGGAAAGCAGTAGAAGATGGCCCAAATCACATGGGAGACGGGAGAAGGCACCTGGTTCCTGGCTTTGGATCGGCGCAGCTCCGGCCACTGCGGTCATTTGGGGAGTGAACCAGCGGAAGGAAGATTTCTCTCTGCCTCTCCCTCTCACTGTAGCTCTACCTCTTAAATAAATAAATAAATCTTTAAAAAAATAAAAAAGGATAAGAAAAAACACGTGGCTGGCTTCTCCTCTTTCTACCAGTAAAGGCGCCCAGGAAATCAGTCCCTTGTTGAGAGTGGTCTCCGGGAACTGGCTGGCCTCCCCTGCACACGGGAGCCCCTCGTCTTCAACACATCCACCCACCTCCTCAGCTGTCAACCCCAAATTACATGGATGATACATGCACGTGATTTAGTTTTCAAAAAATGCAAAGTGCTTGCAGGCAGTGGCCTCTGACACCGTCTCTGTGGGGCTTTCCGGGGAAAAATCGGTACACACGAACACGAACTGGGTGGGCGTGAGAGGCGGAGCACAGAGCAGTTCGTGTGGTTGCCCTCGTTCGTGTTTAGAAAGGGAGAGTACAAGGAAACTTCAAAAAGGTCATTGAAAAATCAAACTAAAGGTTAAGTTTGGGGCAGGCGCTTGGCACAGCACTTGAGACGCCCACATCCAGTATCAGAGCGCCTGGGTCCAAGTCCCAGCTCCACTTCTGATCCAGCTTCCTGCCAATGCACACCTGGGAGGCAGCAGGTGATGGCTCAAGTACTGGGGTCCCTGCCACCCACGTGGGAGACCTGGACGGAGTCTCCAACTCCTAGCTTCAGCCTCGACTGGCCCAACCCAACCCCGCTATTCTAGGCATTTCAGGGGTGAACCAGTGGATGCAAGATTTGCCTTGCAAATAAAATGGGAAAAAAATCAATTACAAAACAACTTTATTTTGTTGCAAAAAAATTTGAAGGACCAGTGTTGTGGTATAGCAGATAAAACTGCAACCCACAATGCCAGCATCCCATATGGGTGCCAGTTTGTATCCTGGCTGCTCCACTTCTGATCCAGCTTTCTGCTGATGGCCTGGAAAAGGCAATGGAGGATGGCCCAAGTGCTTGGGCCCCTGCCACCTAAGGTGGGTGACCCGGATGAAGCTCGTGGCTCCTGGCTTTGGCTTGGCTCAACTCTGGCTGTTGCAGCCATTTGGGGAGTGAACCAGTGGATGGGTGCGCTCTCTCTCTCCCTGTCTCCAACTCTGACTTTCAAATAAATAAATCTTTTAAAAAAATTTTTTGAATCCTCTGCTTTTATAACTTTCAAATAAAAATACATGTTGAGATATATGCATAGTTTTTTTAATAATACATATTTTCCATGAACTTTTCGAAGACCCCTGGTGGACACTTATATCTGCTGGTGTAGACAGGAGACCTCTAGAAGCTGCTAACACTCACCCTGGGGGAACGAAACAATCTGCCTGGGGTAGCCATCATGGTTTTAGACCCACCCACAGGCCCCCCGCCTACTTAATCACACATGTAATCTGTTTGCGTAGGAGTCCTCTTCTACAATGAAGTATGTTTTCTTCCTGGTCTCATACACCTCACAAAGCCTCAAGTGCAGTCACAGAGGCCCCAAGCCCTGAGCCCCAAGCCCCTCCTCTGGCTCCGCGGCAGACGCGCGGGCTCGGAGGGAGCCTTACCTTGTTAACCTGGGACAGTGGGGTCCTCACGGCTCCCACCGGCAGCCGGCCCCTGCTGCTGTCTTCGAACAGCCTCCCGGGGGACCGCTCCCTCCGCGTGCTCAGCATGCGGCCCGGGGACTTCTCGCGCTCCAGGGGACGGCCGGGAGACTTGTCTCTACGCAGCTCTGTCCGCCCCTCGCGGTAGCGGTGGGGTGTGCTTGGCTCTCGGGGGTGGCTGGGGCCTTCGGGTGGCGCCGGGCTGGAGGCCACGCGCTTGGTGATGTGCTCGTTGTACGTCGGCGGGCCTCGCTTGTTGGGGCTGCTGGCAATGAGAAGAGGCAGGGAGCTGAGAATCTTCTCTGAGCAGCCAGCCCCCTGCTCCAACCTGCACACTGAGGTCAGAGGTGACACCTGGAGCTCAGATTCCTGCTTTATTTTGGTGGAGCACACCAGGCATCTGGCCCGGGTGAGAGCTCCGACTCGGTGAGCACCTGCGGCAGGGCATCCCAAGCAGGCATCGGTCCCTGATGTGCCTCAGGAAAGGATCAGACAGCTCTGTGAGCTAGGGACGGACGAGCATGACCACCGTCCTGCAGGCTGGAGAGTCACAGAGCCTGCCCGTGGAGAGGCCCAGACTCGCCCGAGCAGGTGAGCGGCGGGGCTGGGATTGCAGCCCAGGGCAGTCTGACGTCATAATCCCCACGCTATATCCCACTGACCTAGTATTCCCTGGAGCCCAGGAGGCTCAGAGGGAAGGGGTTAAGCCTGCTGACACCCGGAAGTCAATGACCCGGGAGGACCTTGCATGCAAGATGTGGTTTTGAGAAGGCCTGTGCTGCTCACGGTCAGCTGCCATAGGGTTCCCCTCCTGGCCAGGGGTTCGGTCACCTCCCCCTCCACCCAGGGGGCTTTCCAAGACACTTTGTGGCATCTGATGCTGATGCTTAGAGAGTTGATGACTTTTAGTCGTGGCAATAGGGATATATCCTTACGGAACTCAGCAGAGCAGACCCAACAGTACAGCTGGCTCAAAATATGTCCCTTGCCCCAAGGTCAGTGGTTAATCATCAAACAGATGAAAACACTAGGGGCTTTCCCTGGGACCAATCTACCCCCTCCACCCAGGCCTGGCCTGGACACTGTGAATGAAGACTTCAGCAAACCCAGGCCCCTGACCCCATCTCTCTGAAGTAGCAAGGCCAAGAGATAACGTGGGCCCTTCAAGAAATGCATGGGAAATGCCTCTTATAAAAACATTGCATTCAAAACTTTTTTTTACCCAAATAAGCTTATCTTTCCATTCCTGTTTCCCCATGCAATCTTTGAGGTCCTGTGGTACAGTGGAAGCTGAACTTTGATCTGCTGAGTCAACGCCCTCCCATCCCTGCTCAGCAGAGAAACAACGGGGCCCACATTACCTGACATAATTGGTGCTGGGAAAAGGCAACCGACTTAGACGGGACCAGCATTTACAGTGAAAGTTACCTGAAGGTGTATTTGATTGATCAGGGTTTTATCAAAATTGGAAATCAAGAAAATTATTATTTTACCCTAGATATTTCTAAAACCCAAATTACAATGCACTCACATGCCAAATCTAAAAATGAAACAAATACAAATTGCATACCAACTTCTTTTTGCTCTCATGTTCTCAACAAAGTTGCATGCTCACACGCTAGGGCTTGGGGTTTTGCACTACCATCTTATAGCAGGTCCTGTCTTCAGAACTCCTGGAGAGCACCACCGCTTTTCCCAGAGCCCAGTCTTAGTCCTTGACAGTTAAATCGCTGTCTTTGGAAGAGGTTAACATTTTATCAATTTGACTTTTTTCTTCAAGCATTTGTCCTGCTCTATCGAAACTTCTCTTGTTAACGCCCATTACTGAAAAGCAATGTGCATCAAAGACCCGGCCTGCTGGGAAGGAGAGGCTCCTGGAGGGCCAAATGCCGGCAGACACCTGCTTTAGTCAATAAAGTTTTATTGGCACACTGCCACGCCCACCTGGTTATACACTGTCTGTGCTGCCTTTGCACTGTGACAACGGGACTGAGAGCCGAGACAAGAGACCAGAGGACCGCAGTACTGAAGGCGTGGCCCGCCTGGACCTTCACAGAGAGAGCCTGCCAGTCCCTGCTCCAGGGAGCCGAGGAGTCTGCCCAGCGGAGACGATCCTATTGGCAGTCAGCGTGCCGAGAACAGCTCCCCAGGCCACTCTAGCTGTGCAGGCCCACAGAACGAAGGCTCAGGAGACCGGAACGCTTGTCTGAGATAACTCAGATGCGAACTTCTTGAAATCGAGGATTAGATTCGCGTCTAGCCACACAGCTTTGAGACACCGAAGACAAATGAAAAGAAATGCCACGTAGCGGGGGCCACGGTAAGCCTATTTAACGGCAGAGGAACTACGAGGTGTGTCCGCAGGAAGCCAGCACACAGCAAGCGGGAGGCAGCGGTCTGCCCCGGGGAGGAAGGCTGGCCCGGGAGGGCCGTTCAGGACGTCAGCCGAGATCCTCGTGAAGAAAGGAAGTGCCCGTCACGGGGAGCCGAGCCTTCCATCTCGGGACTGCCTCGGGACTGATCAATTTTATGTTTTCTGCAGAGTTGCATTTCCTGCTCTGCTAAACAGACCAGGAAAATGAGGCCTGCAGTGAACCCCAACCAGACAAGCCGACCTGCCCAGAGTGGTCAGAAGCACAGACAGTTCTAGAAGCCAGGGGACAACTGAAGACTTCACAAACTGACTTTGCAGTCACGCCTGGCAACAGCAGGAAAGCAAATGCATTACTTCTACCCCCTGCCACCCCTGCTGGAACCATTTTCAGCCAGAATAAGCCATTCCTCGCCAAGAGGTCACAAAGTCACAGACGCAAGGCCTGGCCACCTGACTGGTGAGGCCAAGCAGAGGGCAGCAACCTAATTATAACGCTTGGTTTCTGGCAGACTTGGGAGATCGAGCCATCCCCAGGCGGAGCCCCTCGGAGGCAGAGCCCAGACAGAGGAGTCCTGGGAGTAAGACGCCCTGACCAACCATGTGCGGCTCATTAATTCCTACAGCGTTCACAACAGCAGAGAGACTATTCACTAGGATGTAGCCTCAAAATACGAAGTTTGCGACTGCCTCTTTCAAGACCTAAGTATTCTGTAAGATTAGATTTGGTTCCTTCACCAAACCATGAGCCCCTTCAGAGTGTAGACAGGGGCTGGTACAGAGGTGCAGTGGGATGAGCCACCACCTATGACATGCCAGAACCCCATATGGGCACTGGTTCGTATCCTGGCTGCTCTACTTCCGATCCAGCTCCCTATTGTGCCTGGGAAAGCAAAGGAAGACGCCCCAAGTGCTTGGGCCCTGGGGACCCAAATGGAGTTCCAGGCTCCTGGCTCTGGCCTGGCCCATCCCTGGTCATTGCAGCCATTTGGGGAGTGAACCAACAGCTAGAAGATCTCTTCTCTCAGACCCACTCTCTCTCTTCCTCTGCCTGTCCCTCTCTGTAATTTGCCTTTCAAATAAATGAATAAACTTAAAAAAAAAAAAAAAGAGAGAGTGAGTGAGGGTAGTACCTCTGTCACCTCCACATCCCTGGCCTAGCCCATGGGAGGAGGCCCATGTAACTGAGAGCACAGGTAGGGCCAGCAGAATCCTAGCTCACTCTACTGCTCCCCTAGGTTAAGCAATCCCGGGCTTTGTTTCGCAGACCGACATCTCCAACTCCCCACACATCAGCTGGGATCTGGCTCCTGGCCCTCCACGTCAACACAAGGCCAGTCCCGCTTCCTCATACGCTGGTGGGATTCCAAATGCGTGCAGCTCCAGGGAGAAAACCCAGGCACATCTCTCAGAATGACAAATGCACGTCCGCCATCGCCCATGCAGCCGATGCCTCCACATGCAAAAGGACACACGGTCACAGCCAAAGACCGGAAGTGACCCAAACACCCCTCGATAAAGGAACAGTTAAGCAAGTTAAAGTGAGGCCGAGGGGCCAACAGTCTTAGCAGGTTAAGCATCTGTCTGCAGTGCCGGCATCCCATATGGGTGCCGGTTTGAGTCCTGGCTGCTTCACTTCCAACCCAGCTCCCTGCTGTGGCCTGGGAAAGCAGAAGATGGCCCAAGTCCTTGGGCCCCTGCACCTGCATGGGAGACCTGGAAGAAGCTCCTGGCTCCTGATCAGCTCAGCTTCAGCCGTTGCAGCCATTTGGGGAATGAACCAGCAGATGGAAAACCTCCCTCCCCTCCCTCCGCTCCCTCGCTTTCGCCTCTCACTCACTCGATAAGTCACTCTCGTAATATAATTAAACGACTGCTTCCAAAGAAAATAGACCGATCTATATAAGAAACAAGGGAAATGGGAATGTGAAAAAAAAATAGGAAAGTATTAGTAGGAAAAAGAAAGAAAACGTATACCGTCATGTAAAAGCATCAAGTTAAGCCCGAGGGACATCCG